CAGAGGCTTGGTCATCATATCACTTGCCCACTGACTATGTTGGCAGGTCTTAATAAGCGCTTCCGTCTAGCTGCTCTGCAACGATAACCCAATCTGTGGAGAATCCGTTGAACAGATTTCAGGCTCATCCCACCAACTTTGGCCACTTCTGCAGTCGTTAATCTGGGATCCATTTCGATGCTCAACTTGACAGCCCTTTTTGTCCTCTCTGATGGACCAGGACGCTGCTTAGTTGTTTCCTTGCCGTGTTTTCTGAACTGCACGATGATTCTGTTGACTGTCGAAAGTGGAATTCCCAAATTCTGTGAAATTTGCCGCTGACTTATTCCACTATCTGCTGACCAACTATCCTTCCTCTAACAAAATCTGACAATTCGAGAGAACCTTGAGTTCTAGGCATGTTGTAGCACAAGATAATTAGTGTGTGGACCATTTTCATTTGTATAGTGCTCTGTGAACACAAATTTGTTAAAATAAATCAGTTAAATGACGAAAAATTAGATGTCTATTTACTTGTGACCACTCAGTGTATTTGGGTTACATTCTCTTTTGGTTTAGACTATAAACTATAACCTTAATTTTAAATATATGACAATTCTTTATTGTTTTATATCAGTGAGGAACTTTTAGATCTTGGGTAAGTTAACTGTACTTACTGCAACTTCCTAAAATTTAAATTTTCAAGGCCTATATTTTACCTTGCATATCATTGGATCATAATAAATGCTGATTTCACTCCCTTCCTTGATTCCACTGTCACATCGAACCTGTGTGTGGTATAACAAGAGCAAACATATTTTAATATCAGTTTGTAACCTAAAGAACCATCATACAGGAGACAGATTTTCAATAAATATTTGACAAAGCCTCCACAGGGAGCTGGATTTTTGGTAGTACTCATGAAAGAGAGACTGGAACTTTTCTGGGTCAACTTAAAAAGGACTTAGTGACTGGTCCGATAAAGATCTGTGATCCACACTTGAATGAGGTTAGCTCAAATCACACTAGAATAGGGTGGGGGGTTTGTATGCAATGACAATATTTATGATCCAGTGATAAGTGTTAATTTGTAATTTTATAAATTTGCATTACCGAGGTATATTAAATGACCTCTTTGGCACTTGGAATGGTCTATGAGGAAATTTTCGTAGTGATCTCCATGGTTGGTCCAATTCTGGTGTTTGCTTCGTACTTATCTGTGTATTTTATTCTTAAGATGGCAATTTTTGTATAGGAGAATAATACGTCAAAGATAGAGTTTTACTTGCTAAAACCAGTCTGCTTCACCAATCTGTAACACTTGTAAAGAGGCATTCAAATTATAGGTTTTAAAACAGAACAAATCACAGCTCTGTGCTTTAATATGGTTCAACTATAAATGTTCACTACTGAATTAATATTAGCTTCTAATCTGAGCAAGTTAAGTACTTAGAGCAAAACTAAAAATCAACCTGGCCATCAGTATAACTAATTAAATATATGTTTGAGTTTATAGATATAAAGATTAGAATACATTGTTTCTTCATACGAGTACCTGAGCTGTTAACCATATTTGTGCCTGGAATCCAAATAATATCTCACTCACAATGTTTAACCAGCTTAGAATATTTAGGTTAGTTCTAAATACAAATATATTAAGCTAACAATGCAAAACAACTCAATATATATAAGTATAAAAATAAAAGTAATAAACTGGATATATTCAACAGTCTAACCAATACTATAAAATGAAAAAAAGTTTTATTCTTAGCATCAAAAATCACCTTGCACTCAAACTGATTCAGTAAAGGTTTTGTGAATTTAAACAAATCTTTAGTAAAATATATGATTAAAAAATCTGATTTTTTGAGTAAAATATATTTGTAATGTTTACTAAAAGCTTAATAAATTTCATGAAAATACATACTGTAAATGTGGAATTATAGTAAATGTTGATCCTTAAATATGGACTCAGTCCAATGGATTAACTCTGTGCACATAAAGTTAATTAAACTAAAAAAGTCAATTAACAACAACAAAAAAAGAAACAAACAATCATTAAACATTTTAATCATCTTATTATTGAAAAAAATTGTGTAGTTATCTGCTTATTTGAATTTCAAAATCCTCCTATAATTTTTACTCTAGAACTTGAGAAAAATTTTACTAATCACTTAATATGTGAAATAAAAGTATTAAAATAAAACCTTCAAAAAAGGTACTAATAAAGTGATGAGACAACTCTTTTTAAATAAAATAACACACAACAAAAGTATCCACAATCATGTTTTTTTTATATGAATATTTCTTTATATAAATTTACCTTTGGAATATAAAGTGGTTCAGTGTATTTGTATAAACGACCAACAGAGGGCAGGCCAAAATGCTTGTAGGGATCTTCAGCATATACACGAGATTCAAGTGCCCAGCCTCGGACAGGAATGTCACTTTGTTTCAAGTTGAGTTTATGTCCTAATAAAAATAGCAATAAGGAATTAAAGAATTTATGATGCTCAATATCACAAATACTTTAAAAGCTATCGAAAATAACTTAAAAATTAACTAGCTGATTTTACTTTAGAAATTAATATCAGGTTGTACAAGAACAATTAATACATTATTGAAGTGAGTCAAAGCCTATCTTCCTTAAATCACTAACTTTTATACTGCACTGCTCCGAGATATATTTGTTACATTGAGATTCTATTTATGTTTATTCCCTATCAAATTGTTTGTAATGATTACTAAAATCTTAAAGTCAAAAACAAGTAATTATTTCTTGATTAATCCTATCGTCACGGGTATCCTTTACTGCGCATGACACAAGGTTTTAGTGTCTTACATTCAAAATTTTATTCATCTACACTTTGTTTATGTTATACCAATTAGTATAGCATAAAATCTTAGCTAATAAACTATATTTTAATATACAAGTTTTTAATTCTACAAGGCAATATAAAAAAAAATCCTGAATTTCCCCTAGTGTGACACATTTTCTATAGGCATCTTCTTTTCTCTATTTTATCCACCACCCCTCAAAAAAGTACAAAATTCAATGTAAATTACTCACTATAAAATTATCATTGCTCAGAAAAACCATAATTTTTTATAGCCTTCAATTTTGTTTTGTTACAGAGCTATCAAATAGAAAATCAGACCCCTCCTGCCACATCCTCTCTTTCAGGATTTGTTAATAGTTCTCTCTTACATTTAATTATATATTACCTATAACCAATAGAAAGCCAAGGTTTTTATCTTTCAAATGACGTATTACATAACATTGTGTTCTGAACGGATAATCATCAATTTCACTCTGAGTACAAGCTCCGTTCCCGTGGGAAAGCTAACAAATAGCTTGGATGGACTGGTAATGGCTCTTGTCGCATAGTTAGAAAGCCAGAAAAATTGCGAGTTAAGGGAAATTGTCTACATTTTGCATGTCATTAGTCTATGTCCTTTGGTGCATTATTTAATTAAATAAAAATTATTTAGTGCATTACTACCATTAGTATAAAAAAAGTAGGGTCAAGTGTCATCAACAATGAACTGCAAGAAAAAAAACGATTGGGTAAGTACTTCAATTCTTGTTTTACATGTTTATTCTTTATTTATTATTATAAAAGTAACTAAAATGTAAAAATAGGGATCTTTTTTGGTTAGTTTAGATTGGGTAAAATAAAGAATAATATAATAAAAATGTTTCATGAGGCATGCACGCGAGTATCTTGTAGTAGCTCATGGGTAACGTAACTTGAGCTGCACGTTCACCAAATGATTTCCAACTTATATTGGGGCAGATAGTAATTAGACATGGTTCAAAGGGCAATAAAACAAGCAAATTTAATTATAAATAGAAGTATACTGTTATGAGTTTAAAGCTACTTAGAATAATCAAATTTAGTTTCACACTACATTTGAAGTCATTCTAGAAAGAAAAAGAGGGTAACTTAGATTTATTTTGATTTTTGGGGGAGGGTTACGAGGTCAGTCAAATTGACCAACCTTGTATAGTTAGGGTAGAGAAAATAACAGATAAAATATAAAGTTTTACTGAAAAAAAACATTTGAAATGTATTTATGAGGTTTTTGAGATTACACAAATGAAATTTGAGATTTTTGAGATGAAGTATTTTTAGTCTTAACATGAAAATCACTTTGCACACAGATTATTCAAAACAAATATTCAATATATTCATGGACAAATCTGTATTTTAGTTTATTAGAAATACTTCACTAAAAATATGATTTTTTGGTATGTGAAAGATTTATAATGTTAACTGAAAGACTGCCAAATTTTAGGAAGATATACACACTACATTGAAAGTTAGAGGTATTAAATCTATAAAGACTTTTAATGAGTACAAAGAGGTCACATTGACCAAACCCATATATATATATTATACTTTTACTATTTTAAGAACATTACCTAACCTTCAATCCTTTGTATGTATTCTTTACACATAAATTCCATTCCAGTAAATATTTACCTTTTCCTACCCTGATCATTTGGTGTACCAAATCTACACCAGTTATACATTCAGTGATTGGGTGTTCCACCTGTAATAAATGTTAATACTCGGGATAAATGTCAAACCTTTTCCTATCTGATCATTTAATTTACCAATCTACATCAGTTATACATTCTATGGTATATTAACATGATAACACAATTTTATAACATGCCAAACATTTTTCACCTAAAGCAATTGCTAAATTTTCCACGTACAAACAAAACCTACATTTTCTTACTTAGCAATTTATGCATACAACATTATCTTTAACTCATCAATGTGAAGTCTTAGTGCAATCCATGCTTTAGAAAGTCCTTAGACATCCAGTAACTGTCTAGTTCTACAATGCATACAGAACTAACTCTTTTCATTTCTTTATTTATTTTCTACTGCTTTATATTATTTCAGTGGTCTCTAAACAATATCATTTGAAAGGAATGGAAACTGTTAAAAGCAATTACTTTTGTTAGAATTGTTTTAATATCGGAAATATTTGACTGCTTCAGTAAAGCTTGGAAATGATCAATAACTGTAAGCTGTGTGTTAAAAATATATTAAATTTTTTATAGCTGCTATTGTATTGACCTACAATTTTTGTAAAACTATCAGTTTATATTAATAGTCCTCAACTGTTTTTTTAAGTATAAGTTATAATCTGCAAAAAAATGCAGGCTCTGTTTTCAAGTGAAGTATAATAATTTGGCTGAAATAATTGAAAAATAGTCTGAAATAATTAATATTGAGCATTATTACTACACATACACAATTCAAATATTATTGTATTTTTACCAACTACAAATTAACACAAAACTTATTAAAACAAATATTAGCATTTTTTCATTGCCCAAAAAAGGATATTAAAGTTAGTTATATTACAGAAATGTTATAATGTAGTATGGAACATTTTCACACAATGGATAGAAATTCTTATATTACAGTTAATAATACAGAAGGCTATTCCAAGGAGTTTTACAAATGCACAAATGTGAAAAATGTTTGGTGTTTATACAGCAACCAAGCTGCCTCCTACAATTAAAGTTAACAAGCTTGAACTAAGCTCGACAACTCAAAAGCCATGATTGCTTACTAAAATAAAATAAAACATTACTGTTTAAGTAAAAATCTACATCAAATCTCAATCTGAATCCCTACCTGTAACCTTGTATTCATTTCAAGAAAGTAGAAATTTTTTTTTGAGTCAACCAAGAATTCCACAGTTCCTGTAAAAGTAATTTTATTTTAGCTTGGTTCTTACATAGTTTCACTGAGTTTAATATAAAATTTAAATTGTACATAGACACTATATAAAATTTTATGCTTACAGTTAACTGCTTAAAACAATATTAAAATTCTTCAGATACGTCAATGAAATTAATGCACATGCAGCTGTTTTTAAATAAAGATTTTACATAAGTTCTGAAGTACACAAGTGCTGTAAAATATACAACGAGAACTCCTGATTATTATTATTATTTTTTATCTTGAAAGGATTTTCTTATATTTTTTCTAACAGGCAAGAATTAACTGTTAAAAAAAATGAAGTCAGCATAACCCCAATATTTCATTAGCTACAGGAAAAGCCTTATAAAAAAAAAAAAAGAAAAAAAATGAAATTAATTTATTTCAGAATGCTTTATTTCTATTATCAATATATCCAGTAAGCATGTTTTCAATAAATAAGTAAAATTAGTTATAATTTTAAAAACTAAAATATGGAAATAAAAGTAACGGAAGACAATCTTGAAACTTTGTAGAATGGATGACAACTGCCTGTTGTAGAGACACAAATGTAGAGGACGACATTTCATAAGTCTTCTGCTTTTTGTCTTCAGGCTGTGTTTGATCATGTGGTTACTTATCTAATCCTGAAGAGAGATTATACAGAAGATTTTCTGTTGATTTCTAGATGGTCTAGAAAAACTCTTAAAAATAGTTCTGTACAAATGTTTTGAAACTAGAATGTTTGTTCAACTAAGATTGTCTTCTTTGATAGATTGTTTAGGCAGAGTATTCATGCTGAAACTTTGTAGAATGGATGACAACTGCCTGTTGGAAATATAAATGTTACAAACAAGATTAGGTTTCAATAAATTTTTTTTTTCAGGAGGTACAAGTTACCTGAAAAAAAAATCAGTACTCCTTCCAATAATTAACTTATAGTGAATTTTATTACATTTAGCAGAGATCAAAGTATTGTTCAGACTCACCTGCTGAATCATATCCAACAGCTAGAGCTAAAGCTGTAGCTTGTTCTCCCATAGCCTTCCTCATTGCTGGATCCACAAATGAACTTTAAAATCATATTAATAATGTTATTGCAAGTAATACTTATATACTTATTGAATATTCAGCTAATGAATTTGAATTAAATTGAATTTCAGTGGATGCCTGGTCAAACACAATAAAACTGATTATTATTGTAGCCTCAGTGTTTCAACATAAAACTATTCAAATGTTTAATTTATCTGATGCTGTACAACATTTTTCACAAGTCATCAAATACCACCAAGAAACAGAAATATTAGAGAAACAGCATCTAGCAAGTTATTGATCAAATTTTGAAAAAGCCGACAAAATTTAAGAATTTCGTGTTTTTCATTTAAATTAGTTTTTTTTTTAATCAGTAAATTCCAAGGTAAAATAACACTATTTATAATATTCAATGAATCTGAACAATTAAATTAGTTTTGATGTTAATATAAAAGATAGCAAAACTAATTATTTTTATATGTGCTAATGAAATATTGTTACTGCACCTTTATAAAGATACTCAACATTTTACTAACATTTCTGATATTGATAGAACTAACTCATTTCACAACAATTTATTGATTAACAAATGTCTTAAATATAACAGGAATAAGAGCAGGATATTATATCTCTCTAGCTTAAAGCACCCTTGTCATTAGAGCTAGGTTTACAAGCTCAATCACAAGAAATTACGTCAGAGAAAAAAAAGTGTAATGATAAAAGAAAAAGCAAATACTTATGTTACTTCTCGATAAAAGTGATATTTACCACAGTTTCAATTCAAAGTATTTAAATAGATTTGAACAAATTACTGAAGAATTTTTTTTTATTTTTGTTGAGTTGATTCATTTATTTATCTATCAAACTATAAGCTTTTTGCTGGATAAATCAAAACTATTTCGATCTTTGCAACACAGCACATAATTTATCGATTCTTCCTCTCTCTTTACAATTCCATTAATTACTTGAAATTATGATTAAAAAAACCTTAAGCTTCTGACCTTGGAGCTTCTTCAATAACTTTTTGGTTTCTTCTTTGAATTGAACACTCACGTTCATTCAAATAAAGAGCATTACCATGTTTATCACAAAGAACCTGTAAGTAGAATTTAACATGAATACTACTCTATCCAATATATATAAATATACATATATTTACATTTACTAACTATCCAACCTTGTTCACCTGTTTTATGACACTTACAATTCTTGTTTTGTTGATTTTAGTAATTACATTATCTTAGTTTCTAACTCTCAGAAACATGTGATCATATCTGATGTGTATTTTTAATACAATACTTTTTAGATTTGGTTTTTGCCACAAAACAAAAATACCTTGCACATCTAAAAGACCCTGAAAAATAACCATTAATGTCAGTAAATTAATTTTTTTTGTATATTACAATACACTAAATCATTCTTCATGATACATAAATAAGCCTATACATTACTATAACCATTTATTTATTCACCCTCACCTGGATTTCAATGTGCCTTGGATTGTCAATAAACTTTTCCACCAACAACCGATCATCTCCAAAACTAGAAGCTGCTTCATCTCTGGAGAGCTTGAACCCTTCCCTGGAACAATGATATCCACCAACAGTGTACAACTAACTTTAAACACATTTATAGGAAACATTTCCCATTTTTTCAAATTCAATCAAGTTATATTTTTCGTAGCATAGAGTTCCCGTACTTCACCTCTCTGCTGAACTTATTTTAATCCTCTCACAATGGATAGGTCAAAGGGCACATTTCATGATCTTTTAGTTACATTCAAAATTTATTCAAATTATTTTATTATAAATGCATACAAATAATCTTGGCATCAAAATAATAAATTGAATTTTAATATAAATTTTAAGTTCTTAAAATTATAAGGGGAGAGATTTTTCTGTATATTTATATTGGGGGGGGGAACTTTCCTGAAGTTCAACTTATTATACTTTAACTTTGATAATGATAAAATTAGCATTTTATATACATTTCTAAACAAACCTTTTAGTACTTGACATATATGTATCTTCTTCAAATAAAAAAAAACAACTTCAATATACATATCAAAAGAACAACTTACTCTGCTTCTTTGTCATTCCACGCAATCCTCATTCCTTTTCCACCTCCACCAGCAGAGGCTTTAATCATGACAGGATATCCTGAATAAAGAAACAAAACAGTGTACTATTGTTCTTTCTTTGTAAACACTTGTCAGGAAAAAAAGTTATATCAAAAGTAATAAAATAACTAACAAATATACTCCAAACATTATACAGAATAAATAAAAAATACTTTAATAAGTTTTAAGTTGATTTAATGCATTTAAATATATAGTTTTATAAAAATATTATTGCTTGAAATAAGGTGATTACATTTAATTTCAACTTCACAAACACAATTACAACCTGTTTTTCAATTTACTGTTACTTAAACCATCATGGTTTAATCTATAAAGCAAGGTCATAAATAAGATTACCTTATAGAACATAGCTTGATTGAGTAAAATATAACTAGCCTTTAAAGAGCAAACATATACAATCAGTGTTCTTTCACACTGTAGAAGGAAGTTCACAAGCCGTAACTTACAGAATATTTCTGAATCATTCTTTTTTTATATTTAACCCTTTCCACATCGGCTCAGTCAATTAGATTTTTTAATTAAGTATTTTTAATAAAGATTTGTCTATGAATATATCAATTAGTTTTGTTTACTAGTCTGAGTGCAAAGTGATTTTCATGTTAAGATCAAAAATACTTTTATTCATATAAAAAATTTTAAAAATTTCCTTTGTGTAATCTTTAAAACCTCCTAAATAATTATAAAACTTTATATTTTATCTGTTATTTTCTCTACCCTAACACTATATACAAGATTGGTCAATTTGACCGACTTAGTAACCACCAGAAAAGAAAAAAAATTAAATCAATCTAAATTACTTTTTTTTCTTTCTAGAATGACTTCAAATTGTAACAGAAAATTACATCTGTTTATCCTAAATAGCTTTAAGCTTGTAACAGTATACATCTGTTTATACTTAAATTTTGTTGTTTTATTGCCCTTTGAGCTATGTCTAAATTAATATTTCCACCATAAAAATTGTATATCCACTGGCAAACATAGAGCTCATGTTGCCTTATAGACGTACATAACGCATGGGTTACTATTATTTAATCTAATCTAATCTAACCATATCTAACTAAAAAGTTTCTACATTTATAATAATAAATAAAGAATACACATAAAAACCAAGAAATAAAGTACTTACCAGGGTCGATGATACTTAACTCTGCTTTTTTTTTTTATACTAATGGTACTACTGCACTAAATAATTTTTTATTTAATTAAATAATGCACTAAAGAACATACAATAATAACATGCAAGAAGCAGACAATGTCTCATAACTAGCACAATTTTTCTGGCTTTCTAACTATGCGACAAGAGCCATTAAAATTTCAGATAAGCTCATCAATGTGTTTCCTGTG